CTCACAGGAGCAGTGACCCACCTGTGTTGCATCATCACCCTCTTGCTGTGGAAGCCTCACCCCAGCCAGCTGGCTGTGTTCTTCATATTGCCCGGCCTTTGGGGCACAGCTGACGCCGTCTGGCAGACACAAAACAGTGGTGAGTTTCCCGCCTCCTGCCCCAACCTCAGCAGCCATGGGTCGGGGCCTGGGGAGATGTGGGACACCCTCCAGCAGGGAGAGTGGAGCAGGGACCCTGGCAGGCAGGCAGAGGGCTCCAGTCTCCTCCTGTGGACTTGAAGATTTTCTCTGAGCACCTGGGCAGCCCTACAAGGAAAAGAGAAAACCACCTGAGTACAGCTTTCCTCTCCAAAATGACGCTCCTTCAGAGTTTTCCCAGACAAGGGCGCCTCGGAGTGGAGTGAGTCTCCTGCCACCTGCTTCTTGCAGGCCCTGGGGAGGCAGAGCCCTTCGGGACGCCCAGCTGTGGTGGGGAGACAGACACATACCTTCTGGGGTAGAGGAACTTACAGGTCACTAGGATCGCATCCGAGCAGCTGCACTGGGGCTGGGTGTCAAAGTTCTGGGGGATCCGAGCTGGGGCAGGAGGGGCGGTCAGCACGGGCTCCATCCTGGAGGTCACAGCTGAACTACATCCTGGGGACTGTCCCCAGGCAGGGCCGTAGGGCAGGGGAGGCGAGGCGGGAGCTGTCCCGGTCCACCCAGGAGCCTGTGCCAGGACCCCACAGCCCGGGGCCTATGAACAGCAGACGGCTCACAGTTCGCTTCTCACAGCTCTGAGGCCAGGAGCTGAGAGGGAACCGGGTCACAGATGCCGTCTCCTCACGTGGTGCCTTTTGAGGTCCCTATTCATGAGCCTGGCCACCCCTGGGGACCTGCCCCCTGACACCATCACATTTGGGGTTAGGTTTCAGCATGTGAATTTGGGGGACACAGCATTCCAGCCACAGCAGAAGGGGGCAGGCTGGGCAGGAGCCCTGAGAGTGACTGACATGGGGCCCGGGCCTGCCTGGTGAGGGGACTGGTCTCTCAGTGTTACTGGAAGCAGCAGAAAGGGTGTGACCAGGAGGGACAAGGGGCTGCTGCTGTGATCAGGCGGGACAGACAGGCCTGCAGCAAAGTGGCCTGGGACCTCGCAGGGCAGCTCCCTGGGTGTCCCAGACGGGCGAGAGGGGCACATGCAGACGAGGTGGCAGGCAGGTGCGGTGCTGAGGGCCTCGGCTGCCAGCAGGCCAGGGGATGCTGGTGGGGGCTCAGCACGGAGAGGGGGCTGCTCCTGACGTTCGTCACCTGGGATGGCGACTTCAGGCTCAGAAGTACAGTCTGTGGTGAAGCCAGGCAGGAGGTGAGGACAGAGCTGGGAAGGAGATGCAGGGGGCTGGGCGGGGGTGCGGGAGTGGGGACAGAGGACGGAGGAGGGACCGGGGGAGGGTGCCATCTTTGGGGGACAAAGGGGAGGAAGTGGGAATGAAGGACACATAGAAAAAAGAGTGAAGAAAGTTCCATTTCCTCTGAGGTGACAGCCAGTGGCCATCACAGGAGACAGACCCCCAGACGGTCACTGTGTGCCAGGGGCTGCGGGGGCCTCTCAGTGAGTACACTGGCGGCTACAGCCCTGCTGGGCTGCCCACCCCTTCCAGGACAGGGGCCGGGGCAGAGAAGCCAAGTCACTGTCAAGGCTTGGCTGAGAGGGCAGAGCCGGGCCTGGGCCCTGGCGTCCTGCAGAGGCCACAGCCCCCATCATCAGGTCCCCCGGTCTCATGGGTGGACAGGAGAGCATGGTGGGGGTGTGAGGCAAGGCCTGGGACAGCCTCGAGGGCATAGGTGGGGCCTGCCCAGGACCCCAGGACTGTGGGGCTGGTGCACGACTTCAGGCAGCTGAGTGGAGAGTGTGAGCAGGCGCACCTGGTGCCTGGGGCTCCGCAGCCAGCAGAGTGTGGGGTGGGCAGGGACGTGCCAGGTCAGACTGGGGGTCCGGGTGAGATGTGAGGCCACAGGTGAGGATGGCCAGAGGCACACAGGAGAGGAGGGGCCGGTGGCATCAGAGGTCAGGGGCCCTGAGAGCAGGAGCGCATGCTGCCGGGCCCTTGGATCTCAGGGGAGAAGCAAGACCCAGGTGTGCGCGATGCGGAGCGCAGTTCCTGAGCTCAACCAGGGCCAGGCCACTGGACGCCAGTCAGGGCACCATGCCGTGCAAGTCAGCAGGGGTGGTTCCTGGTGGAGACCAGCGGCCAGAGCCCAGGGGCGGGGAGCAGTCCTGCAGGCAGCCAGGAGGCCCCGAGGGGTTGGGAGCAGGGGGTGGGAGGAGGGTCGCCTCCTTGGCCGGCTCTGGTAGTGCTTCTACCATGAGATGAGTCACCAGAGAGGGCGTGGCAGCCCCCGGAGAGAAGGGACAGGCTGTGCATGGTGGCAGCACCTGGGGGCAGGGCTCCAGGGCCCCCCTTTGGCGCAGGCGGGAACCCTGATCCCTGATTGCCGTGGACCCGTCTGTGACCCAGGAGGCGAGCCCCTGTGTGTCGAGCCGTTTGGAGACTGGGAGACATGCAGGCTGCCAAGATGGGCTTGGCTTTGGAAGAGAGCCACTCTCCTTAGAGACATCACCACTCAGCCTTGGCCTGGGAAACACCTGGGGGGAGGAATGGCGTCAGGCCAATCCGCAAATAAGCCACGAGCCCTCATTTCCAAGGACAGGAGGCTTGGCAGAGCCCTGTGCCCACAGATCCCCATGCCCTCTGCCACTGTGGGCTCAGCTGCCTGCACAGCCCCTCCTTCCATGTTAGCCTTCTTGCCGCTGAGAAAACATCCTTGAACAAACCTGATGCTGTAGGATTTAAGGGGTGTGGGTCTCACAGTCTTTCCTGCTGCCTCAGCAATGCAGGGGCCTTTGTGAGGTTCTGACCCAGGTGACACACATGTGTCTGACACACGTACATAATCTGGTGTGTTCGGATCCAGGGCAATACCTGGAACAATGCCTGAAACTATTCACTGCTAGGCTTTTGATACATTCACCAGAAACACTGATTCAGTGGAGAGATAAACAAAACCTGCTCCGGCTTTTCCTGGCAGTCCAGGATTATAACTAGAGACAGGTCCCATCACCTGTAGGAGTCCTAGGCACCTCACCCAGGAAGCATCAGCAGAGAATTCTTTCAGCATCCCTGTGGGGGTACGAAAGGCTCTGATATTTTATTGAACACTCCAAATGCACATACTAACTTGCTTTCTAAAATGGTAGGACATCTCTGCATTCACCTGAATTTCAAAAAGTATTTATACCTGAAAAGCCATGTAAGTAGCCACACAATACTGCACACTGTAATTCTCTAGATGTTTTGAATGCTTGCCATAAAAATGTTTGGTCCTCTTTCTCCCTGAAATGCATGAATAGCATGAGCCCTCCCTTTCTCAAATGACCTTCAAGCCTGTCAGGGAAACCGGTGGTCAGAATTGTGCAGGGCTACGTGG